CTTTGATTATGGGTGAGTTTAAAAGTGAGAAAATTAAGGCTGTCATAAAAAGTCCCATCTTGGAGCAGACATTGACAAGGTGATTATCTTTAATAGTAGAGATATTGCCATCCAAATATAGCCCCAAATTTTAGTGTGTAGAAAAACGTATTGAAAGTGAGTCGACGGACAGTTTAAAAATTTTAAAAAAGCGATCTTGACTACTTGATGTTACAATCTAAAATTAAAATATCCATAGTTTATGATTGTAAAAAAAAAAAAAGGTAAAGCAGATATCAGAGATGGTTAAATGAAAAGCCCCTGATGATTTAAGGTGGAATAATATCATTTTCTCCATTTCAGGCTCTGTCACGTTGATCACAGACTCATGACAAGTGTGATAAGGACTGTTTTGCATTTGTCGCTTTCTAACCCACTGAACTCACTGTCTGACACTGTTTGAAACCTGGAGACTGCTCATTCAAAGGCGGTGCATACACAACGAGGAGCTCAATGTTTAATTGAATTCTGTTGTATGTGTTCGTCCCTGCTTTCTCTCGTCTCACCAATGTGTGGTATCTGCGTTGTAGGTGTCCGCCCTCATGCAGAGAGTCCAGGAGTCAGAAACGCTGCTCGGTGCACTACAGCAGGCCTTCAGTGAAGCTAAGAGGAACACACAGGAGCAGATGGTGAGCAGCATATTCATCTGTTAGCTCTGCGTCGTCTGTTTCTGCCAGCTGTGTCTGGATCTGTAGTTCTCCATATCAGAACTGGCACGACTGCAGCCTCCCAAACAGGCACATCAATAGCAGACTCTTGCTCACTCCTCAGACATGCAGGCAAACTGAGCTGCAGCTCATCAGTACTGCCTCTCTAATATGTTTTAGTTTTAAAACGCATGACTTCTGCTGCGTCTGTTGTCGGTATTACTGCTCCGTTTAGGACCCCTAAAACCGAACACACCCTAGTTTAGTTAAAAAAAAAACACAGGATTGCTTTCTTGTCTTGATGGACAGAAATAAATGAGACTTTTGGAAACAATGATGCAGACATTCATGTTTGCTCTGCGAATAGGCTTTAAAATTTTTCCCCGGTTATTGATCTTTGCTGTCTTTATAACATGCAGATCTGTTAAGTTCCTACCTTTCTTGCCACTCAGGGCACAGCAGCTCACCTACGACTCTGCTCAGAAACTGTAAAACTACTGTAAACAATTTCAAGTTGTAATATTGGAGTAATTCAGCCACACATGTACAAACTAGAAACTGATTCTGAAGAAGAATGATGCACGTTTACAGGATTGTGTCCTTAAGCATGTGGTGTATGAAACCTTAAATGTGTTTTGCTGCAACTGTCAGCTGGTGGACAATTCTCAGCTCTCAACTGCTTATTTTGTTAATGATGTGTCTTCTTGCACGTAAAAACATGGACATGTTAACAAGTTTTAAAAAGTTGATTTTCGTCATGGGCCGTCTAATTGTTAGATGTCATTCTCTAATTCTCTGATACACAATTTTCCAGAGGAAAAATAAAGATATCCGCCTTGGTTTCAGTGGTTGATTCAGCTATGATAATGAATTACAGACTCTGCTGACCTTGTTGTCTGTTTGAGCTGCTGTTGTGCAGTTAAGGTCGTATTCTGTATTTCTTCCTTTCGTCATATTTTCTACAAATAGGCAACCTGATTCATGTTTACACCTGTATGTCTGTACATGAGAGGTCATTTGAGATTTGTGTTAATATGCATGGAAGTTAATTCTGAAACTGAACTAAACCGGGATTGTTTTTGATTTGAAATGCTGTTTCAAAAAAGAGAATTATTGTTTCAGATTTCCCTCTCTGCTTCTATGACAGTAACGTCACGATATCGCTGACGTGATAAAAGTTGTGGCCAACAGTTTTTTCACTTACATGCCAAAAAGCTGCATGTACAGAATTTTACATAATTCCAAAAAATTCTATAAGCTTTATTAAGTAAAGTTTCAAGTTACTATTAAACTATAGATTTTATCTAATTTAATCAACATTTTATTGAATATGAACAGAAAGGCTTCACATTGCAGAACTATATCATAACTTAATCATGTACTGATTACAAAATTATATTTTATTCACCTTCTGTTGCTTGTCTAGTGCCATCTTTCAAGTCTAGTTAAAATCTAAAAGATAAGGAAAAGGGTTTTGGTGATGTATTTTATAGACCATTTTCACCTTTATTTCTTGAGAAGACAGAGCTCTCTTGGCCACACAATTTGTTCCTCTACAAATGAAGTTAAATATGTCTAGAAGTTGCTCATCTGCTACAACAGACACATGAACAGATTTTCACATCCTAACATCATTGCCAAAGTTGCCATGTGCATTTCTATGTTTGGTGAGTACAGTTTTTCTGTCAGATCATCATCCAAAAGGAAAAACAGGAAGCACGTGAGATGGAAGTATTCTCAATAATGAATGTGCGCTGCGAGCTGTCTCAGCACATGCATCGATGTGGCTTAAAAGTGTGCAAACAGACTTGTCTTCCAGGGATGTGAGACATTCCTTTTGCTTCATTTGGCTTTGATGTGAAGAAGCGCGAGTCTTATTACTGTCATAAAGTCATAAAATATTAGCTCCGCAGGGAGAATTAGATGGAATGCAGGCTCCAAAAGCAGACACTGGCCGGTGAGTCACTCTTCACCCGGTGGTGAAGAGCTGCTGGTTCCGTATGGCAGGAGGTTAAAAAAAAAAACAGGGAAAAAAATGAAAGCTAACTGACACATGATGAGATGAAGTGATTTTACTTTGTTTGCTTCAGGCGGTGCTGGTGAAGTCGAGAGAGCAGGTGGCAGATGAGCTAAGCCGACTGCAGAGAGACAACGAGAGCCTGCAGGGAAAACACAGGCTGCATGTAGAACTGCAGCAACAAGAGGACTTCCAGATGCCCAACACTGTGCAAGTACGTGAAGCTTCAGTCGCAGCTTCCAGACAACCCCAGCATCGATCCGCGAAATGCATCTGAAGTAGCAGACGTCGAAAGGCTTGTCAGATAAGATAAGATAAGCCGTTATTACTTTCACAGTGAGGAAATTGGCAGTGTTACATCAGCAAACATGAAGAGAGCAGAAAATAAACAAAACAAACAAAAATATATTATATTCAGATATTGCACAAAACATATTCTTCTGAGTGTGGAAAATAACAATCCTACACAAATCACTGGTGTAGCAGTAGAAATAATGATAAAAGGTGTTGATATTGCACAAATTTTATTTATTACACAATTCTTTCTCAAGTAGAAAATTTCTGATTGCACAAATTCTTTTAAATATAGAAAATTTGATGTTTCACAGAATCTTGAAATGTACAAAATATTTATAATGCACAGGTTCAGTGTGTTGACGTGCGAGATTATCATTTTGTTCACTTTTTTCTGTCCTTTTTTGAAGCCAATTTTTAATTATTTTAATTTTGTCAGGTTCTTTTAAGCTCTTCTTGCCAATTATAGTTTGGTAATAGTACTGAATCTCAGTTCTGATATTATACTGGCACCAGTATCACATCATTTGGGCTGGTTTTTATAAAATTTTATTAAATAAATCAATGAGATTCAACTAGATTGAGCAACATGATATTTATTAAAAGATTATATAAAGCATCAGATATAAGTTTAATTAAGGGTTCTATGTGTAAGAATGTGAAGTAATAATTGATTTTTTTTTGTTGCCAGTGTGCTAGCAGGCTATAATGTCACCTAAAAAATGAAACCTTGCTCCAATGTCTTGGTTGCCTAAAAAAGCCTCTGATTTCTGTGTAAGAATGCAGGGTGATTTTTCCATGAAAATTCCAAACGATCTGACGTTTATGCTCATTCCTGAGTGTTTTGCTTCATTGTCTCTTTGCTTAGAAATAGAGTTAACTAACTTCTACAAATCTACAAATGATAGTCCATCAGCAGAGTCCCACACAAACACTACATAAGCACAAAAGACAAAAAAAAAGAGTTTTACCTAGTAAACTCATCTGGCAAAACGTGAATGTGACCAAAGTTGTTGGAGAAATCTACATTGTAGTGATACTCGTTTTATGGAGGGACTAAACGGGGGGAAAAAAAACTGTTAAAATATAGCCTTTCATAGCAAGACCTGCCTCCTCGCTTTGTTTTAGCACTGAACAAGCACTAAAGAGTCAAATAAAGTCTATAGTCTCAAATAAAGTTTATTGCCAAACTATTGTAACAATATTAAAGAAGGGCAGAGAAATTATCGCCAAAAAATGATGTAAACAATCCAGGTTTAGGCATTCACAATAAGAGACTATTATATTTTGTTTGGGGTTTTTTTACATTATCTTTAGCTAATATTCCACAAAGTATTTTTTTAAATTTAAAGGTCCCTTAAGTGTGTTAAGGGTTTTCTGAATGTTGCACCGAAAAAAACATTTAACCTGCAGGCTAACTCAGCACGACACCCTGTGTTTCCATGGTAATGATCAATGACACCTGCTGACCTCTGATGCCACTAAATGACAACAAAAAAGAGAGAAAAATAGAATTTGTGTTTTTTGAGTGTCGCTGTGTGACATTAATGAGAGGTTTTTAGAGCCTTTGAAGCTTCCGTCCTTTTGTGGATAATTAGGGTCCGAGCACTAACAGTGCAAGGACCCTATTGTAACTCTTGTGATAATTTTTGTACTGACTTTTGAAATGTGATTTTGAGGGCCTAAACATGCACGAAAACTCCCCAAAATTGCCACACACATCAGGACTGGCAAAAATTTTGATATTTTAAGCGAGTTGGACATGTCAATGCCAAAATGGCTCCACAGTGCCACCTTGAAAATTTCAGCAGAGTCCCATCGAAAGCACGTTTGACCTAGACCTACCTAATTTGGTTGGTATATGGAGGATGTCAGGACGAACAAAAAGTCATTGACAACCATACCCGAAACCCAACAGGAAGTCCACCATTTTGGATTGTTTGTTTGTCCAACCTGAGCTAACTCCTCCTAGGGGGTAAGTCACAGAGCGTTGAAATTTGGGCAGCATGTAGAAGGTACAATGAAGTCAAAATCATGTGCAAAGGTCACAGGGCGTGGCCACGGCGGCCCTCTGATTTTTGATCATTCGCCATGAAAGAGGAAGTACTGTGTACCTACCCTGTACATGCTCCAGTCTGCCTCAAACTTTACATATTTGATCAGACTGCTGTCCTGATCACATCCATATGCCCAAATCCATTCACAGTCATAGCGCGACCTATTGGTAACAGGATGTTTGAGGCATTACACTTCCATGTGCCATTGCTTCAAACTTTGTGATATCATTCTTAAAATTGGTCAGCTAAGTCTTCCCATGTTGACGATGCTACAGTGCAAAGCTTTTGCATTTTCAACCAACGGTGTTGCCATGACAACGCATAGTTGTTGTGACACGGAAAGGACTTTTTGACAGCTTTGGAATGCTCATAAACTCACTAAAATTGTCATTCAAGCCACTATCAGCTCAACCACAGACAATGTGTGTCTGTTTGGCAAAATGGCTCTATAGCGCCCTCTGCAGCAATTTATCCAATAGCCCCCACAGGACGGTTAACTGACGTTTACAAAATTTGGTTGGCATATGTAACACATCAGGATGCACAAAAAAGCTTCTTGGATCCATACCGTAAACTTAACAGGAAGTCCGCCATTTTGAAATAACTGCAATTTTTTGTGATTTTTGTCATATTCAAGAGCGAACTCCTCCAAGGGGTTAACTCCTACATGTCTCAAATTTGGTCAGCGCATACAACAGGGCTTGATGATTAAAAGTTATCAAAACGCTCCGCAGAAGTCTGAGGGATTGGCAATGGCGGCCCTCTAAATTATGATGATTCGCCATTAAGAAGGAAGCATGTCTAAAGACCCTGTACATGCTCCAATCTGCCTCAAACTTTACATACTTGATAACAGTCCTGCCCTGATGAAATCCATATGCCAATATCCATAGTCATAGCGCCACCTGCTGGCAACAGAAAAGCATGTGTTTTACACTTTCATGTACATTTGTAACATCTACTACGGCCAGCACATTTCACCTACATACATGAAATTTGCTGGACATATGCAGCACATCCAGATGAACAAAAAAGCCTGGTGGTGCCATTCACCTAAACCCAACAGGAAGTCTGCCATTTTGGATTTTTTGTTTCTCCACCCTGAGCACACTCCTCCTAGGGGGGTAAACCACAGAGCGCTGAATTTTGGGCAGCATGTACTGTCAAGTACTATTTGAAGGCAAAAATTTCTCAAAAGCTCTGTATTTCGTTGAAGGGTAAAACATGACAGCCCTCTGATTTTTGATCCTTCGCCATCACAAAGGAAGCATGTCTAACGACCCTGTACATGCTCCAATCTGGCTCAAACTTTACATACTTGATCACAGGCCTGCCCTGATGAAACCCATATGCCAATATCCGCAGTCATGGCGCCACCTGCTGGCAATAGGAAAGAACATGTTTTGCACTTTTATGTGCTATTATTAGCAGGTTGACTGTACTAACCTCAAATGGAATGAGGTGAGCCTTTAGACTTTGATAATGACTCATAACAAAAATTGTTAGTCTTCGTCAAGCGGCGTGTCCGTGGCGGCCCTCTGAATCACTCAGCCCAGTCCTGTGATGCTGGTTGACTGCAGCTTGCTCCTGCACTACTGAGGAGACACAATGAGGACTGAGGATTGAATGGAGTCAGAGCTCCATCTAGTG